CACGGCAGAAGTTGCAGTGCTTGAGGGCATGCAAATGAAAAGACAGCCAGAGCAGGGAGGAAAGAGATTCAGACTCAGCGCCTACCCGCGATGTTGCTTGAGGCATGACGCGAGGTGCTCAGTAGCTGGGGCTTGAGGGTCGACTTGCGCAGCACACGCGCCGCAGCACCACTAAGGCTTGATCGAATCGACAGCATTGTGACACACAGTGTGGTGATCCCTGGCATTTGCACCCAAATCAACCATGAGTGTCCAGCACAGACAGCCAGCCAGTCAAGCGACCAACAAGGGCTCTTTTAAGTTCAGACGTTGGGGAAGATCCCACACACTCACCGAGTGAGAGAGAGAGAGAGAGTGAGAGAGAGAAAAAGAAAACGCTCTCCAAGAGTGAGAGAGAAGAGAGAGAGAGAGAGAGAGAGAAGAGAGAGAGAGAGAGAGAGAGAGAGAGTGAGAGAGAGAGAGTGAGAGAGAAAGAAATGAATTGGTTTGGTTGGGAAAGAGAGAGAGAGAGAGAGAGAGAGAGAGAGAGAAAAAAGAGAGGAAAAAGAGAGACTTGAAAGAGAGAGAACGACAGAGAGGAAACAGTTTTTGCCGCCAAGTGGCGTTCTTGGGGTGGTGGCTGGGGTAGGAGGTGGAGGAAGCGACAAGGACGACGTTGCATGGTGCTCAAGTCAGCGGCGTGCTTGAAGCCGTTTCGCTTTGTTTCTGGCAGTTGCTACACATCAGTGGCGTGAGCGTTTGCGTTGTCGATCCTGGAGCTGTCTTGAAGGAGCGTGCGATTGGCGCGCCCTGCGCAGCGGCGTGCACCCGTGTCTCTCTCGTCGTTGGCACGTTTGCGTCAGCCGTGGTAGTTGAGGCGCCTTCCGCCGAGATGGCCGCACCACCGTCCACTTTTGATGCGCCCGAGTTTCGGCGGAGTCGGTTGCTGGGCAAGCCCAAGGACACATTGACTTCGCCAGACGCCAGTCCAGGGGCCAATGAGTCGCGGGACACACCGGCGGCTAAACGCGCCAAAGTGTCGTCCACACCTGATCGATCCGGCAAACTTGCGTCCCCCGCCAGCACTGTGCGTGGCGCTTCTGACTCGACCAAGGCCGCGGCGAAGAGCAAGATTAGCAATGCTGGTGCAACCAATGTTAAAGCCAACTCCAAGTCAAGGGAGGATTTCAAGTCCCCGGCGTCGCTCAAGGCGGTTGGGGAGGACCCTAAAACGGCAAAGCCGAGTCATTCCAACGCCCGTGGGCCTCTCATCAACGTCAAATCGGAGGTCTATCGGAATGATCCTGCTGCAGACCCACGCATTGCCAATCGGCCCCGGCCCCAGCCCAAGCTCAAGCCCAAACCCCCGCCGTTGCAAGAGAACCACGGCCCCGATCCGACACGAATCAAGGGATCAGACGTGTCGCCTCGAGCGTCACCAAAGCCGCAAGCAGTGACTGGTGCAGCGCGGGATAGCAGCTCTCGGGGCGATAGCAAGCACTCGGGGACTCGATCTCCACCCATAGAGACGCAGCAGGTCCTAACCGGTCCACCCCGCGTGCGTCGGGTTATCCTGAAGCGAAAGCACGGCGAAACGCTGGCCTCGTCTGGTGCCCAAGGCACCTCCGTGCTTGCCGCAGCTGCCGGTCAGCCCGCAGAACATTCAAGTCATCTTGAGCCTGCCCGGGCTGGATCTGCCGCTGTCACCACCAAGGCGGTCCATGAGCCCAAACGCCGCTGGGCGGTGGGTCCGGTCAGGCTTGAAACGCTCAGTGGACCTTTGCAAGTCAACATGTGGCGACCGGGTGCGTGTGACCTCTCGTTGTGTGTTGCATGTGGCCTCACCAAGCTAACGTGGGGGCGTGGGTGTGAGGGGCGGGTAGATGGTAATGTGTGTGTGTGCGTGTGTGTGCGTGTGTGCGAAATGCCATCTATTCTCGTTGCTTGTCTGCTTATTCGAGGTCTGCAAGAAGCGAGGGAGAGTGTATGGTCTTTTGCTCGCATTTCGAACCTGGGCTCATCTCATGAGGCACTCTTACGATTAGGACCCCATTGCTATCGCCCGGCCCGCGTGACTTTCAAGGAGCTGGATGCGGAAGCCCTTCGACAGGCACTGCCTTCATCCGACGACAAGGAACAGAAGGAGCTCATGGCCCACCTTGCGGCTTTAGAGCGCATGAAGGAACTTTTGGACACACACTTTGAGGTGGCTTCAGGCAATCGCTCTGCTGATGTAGGGGGGTCTAACGCCGGCAAGAAGACCCACCCAAGTCATCAAAGATCAGACGATGAGGGCGATGATGACGATGCAAGTGCGCGGCAAACCAGTACCGCATCCACGCCCAGGAAGCGGCCAGAGCCTCAACCTCGGTCTGGCGCTGACATGACAGTACCGGTCAAAAAAAAACTCGAGCTGGACGCAACAGACGCTCGCACCGAGACGCAACCGAGCAAGCCGAGTGCACCAAAGTCCCCAACCTCGACAGCAAAGTCAAAAGCCAAGGCGGAGGGCAAGCCCGATCCCAAGCCCAAGATTGAGGTGAAGACTGATGTCAAATCAAAGCCCAAGTCTGAGGCCAATCCCAAGGTCAAGCCTGAGGCCAAGTCTTCGGCCAAATCCGAGGTTAAGCCCGAGGCCAAGCTCGAGGCTAAACCTGAGATCAAGTCTTTGGCCAAGTCTTCGGCCAAGTCTTCGACCAAGGCCGAGGTCAAAGCAAAAGCCAAGGTCGTGCCGGAGAGGTCGACAATCTCAGCGGCCACTCCACCCAAGCAGGCTCGCTCTGAACTCAAGCCCAAGCCGTCAACGCTCGGGGCGAGCGCTGGCACAAGTGCTGTACCCCGCATGAAGAATCGGAGCTCGCTTCTCAAATCACCGCCCGGCTCTTCTTCCAATGGCACCACCACCAGCAAACTTCCGGATGCGGTGTCTAAGCTCCTCAAGTAGACCAGCAGGTGTTGGCAGTGTGCTCGACATCATTTTTGCTTTGTTATGTCAATTGTAGTCGTGTATCATCACCATCACGCTCTGTCACACTGCCCCCCGTTGACGCTGTGACCGTGATAATACTGGTAGCAATCAACGATCCTGGGATCATGGTTTTCTGCCCTTGTGACCACATCAAGTCCACCTAAAACAACTGCAGTGACTTATCAAGGGTCGCACGAGGCTAAAAGCGAATACAATAAAATCTTTAGGACTAGCAGCCGCGATTTGGCGCAGCGAGTTGTCACGAGCGGGCCATCTCGCGCCCGGGACTCGCCCCTGTCTTGGAGGTCATGTCAGCTCCTTGCGTGGCCAGATAGTGCTCACGATTGGCTTGATACTCGTCTAAAACGGCCTGTGTTCGAGGCTGCTCACGCCGGTCGTTCAGCAGTTGCTGGATCCAGGCCACCGGCACCGAAACGAGCAGGCCCATCTTTCTCGTGCACCAGCACTCGGGCTGAGGCAAGTCGGCGCTGTCGTCTGCTCCCTTGACCTCGGTCAAAGCTTGCCTCAGATTGCAGCAAGCAAGGTTGACCTCTCAAAGCCTAAATTATTAATCACTCCACCACCGCAGCATTCCCAAACACTTTCCTGCGCCGCTTGAAAAGTGCTCCGCCCACTCTTCCCCCGCCCCTCTCCCGACGCTCGTCGTGTTGAACGGCTCCAGACTCTTTTTGTGAGCGCTGTTGCGCCGGGACCCTTTTTAAATCAACCCCTCTTTCTTTAACACGACGAACGTGCGACGGATGCCTGCAAGCATGCAAAACTTTTGGTTCGCAAGGAAAAAGTGGGTGGACATTTGCGTGAGGCGAGCTTGACACCCATCATATTTTGATCAATCCGAATTTTTTTCTCCTGATCCCTGCGCCTTTTCGTGCTGTTCAGCTTGGGCGGCCTGTGTCTGGCTTGGGTGGTGTCGGGAAAACACACTGGCAGTTACAGCTGCCTACCTGTAGCGCGGGACCGTTTGGACCAACAGCATGGCCGGTGTGTCAGAAATGTTTCTTGAATAGCAGGGGTTGGAGGGGAGGAAGAATAGTAGCATGTCTCTTGGCAATGCCTGTGCCTTCACTGTCTGCTGGCTTCATTAGGTTCCGGACCGCGTGAGCTGGTCATTGTGCGCCCGCCACAAGAAGGGTTTGGCTTCAACTTGTCACGGCTCGGCACTGTGCATTTTCTTCGCGTCGTGGAACCCGGAAGTGCGGCCTCAAAGGCTGGTGCCCTGGTCCCCGACCGCATCTTGAAGGTGAGGGGAGGAGATGAATCACGAAGCAAACACAGAGACTGCAAAACGAACGTTGACCCCCTAAAGGCGCGATAGCACAGCTTGATAACACAGCTTGACTTGAATTTGTTTTCCCCTTGGTAGATCAATGGTCAAGATGTGACAGAAGTCAGTCACGGAGACTTGGTGGCGCTTATCAAGCAGGCAGGGCGCGAGTTGCGCATGACGGTGCAACTCATTAGTCAAGACGAGCTGGATCGCTTGCAAAGTGAAGGCAACAGCGGCTCGCGACACGGCTCCTTCTCTGGTCTTGCTCCCGCCCAGCAGATGGCAGCGGCTTTGCAGCCGCCGCCACAGCAGATCCGGCATTCACAGCCCCAGGCGCCGCAGCAACGCGGCCCACCGCAGCCCCAGCAAGTGGCACAACCCGGACCCGCACACTTGGCCCGCTCCGTACCCACCAACTTGAAGACGGTGTCCATTGTGCGTGCAGAGGGCTCGTTTGGCTTCAATTTGTCGCGTCTCGAGGGCCGACATGTGGTTAGAGTGGTACAGCCTCGTGGCGCCGCCGAGGCGGCAGGCCTTTATCCTGGTGACGAAGTCATTGTGGTACGTGGCGTGCATGTACTGGGCGTGGAACAAGGAAATTTTCTTCCATGCTTTTTATTCATTTGTCAGAGTCGCGCGCGCGCGGACCATGTGTAGGTCAACAACGCAGTTGTCATGAACGCCGAACACAGCGATGTGGTGTCGCTGATCAAGCAGGCAGGCGAGCAGATCGTTCTTGAGGTGGTGCCTAGCTCGGCGGGCCCAATCACCCAGGCCGCCATCAACGCAGATCCCATCCTCAAGTCACGTGCACAACCGGCCGTGGTGAAATCTGAGGACCGCATTGCCGAGGTGAGAGCCTGAGGACGAACCTCTAGCAAAGGCCCGTCTTTTTTCGCTGCTTGTTTCATCGTGCTGAGGGGGTGGTGAATGGCATTGTGTAGGCGCGCCGACGGGCCGAGGCCGAATGGCAAGCCAAACGGGATGCGTTGGTGCGTCAACAGGAGGAGGAGCGACAACGCACGCGTCGTGAGCTGTTCGAGGGTGAGCGCACCCGCCTGCAGAATGAACTAGAGCGTGCGCAGGCCGCCGCCAAGGCAGCGGCTGCCCATCGCGGCAGTGCCATGAACACTGCACAATCTTTTGCCAAGGAAGAGGAGTACAAGGAGATGGCTCGGGTGCTCCGGGATATTGAGCAGAGCTCGCGCGAGGAACTGGCGCGTCGTCACCAGGAACCTCTGAGTGATGATGAGTATGACGCTCAATTGACGACGCTGCGACGCCAACTTGAGGCCGCGGTGCTGGAGGACGAGATTATGAATGTCCACACGAGCGAGTGGACGCGCTTCGGCTTGGATTGTAAGGAGCGCCGGGCTGTTGAAGAACGGGATGCATCCAGTTTGCACGAAAAGCTTAAAGTGCAGCGCGATCAGGATCTCAAGTTGTTACAGGAGAAGCAGCAACGCATGGCCGAGCGCCTCGAGCAGGCCCGGCGGCAGCGGGAGGAGGAAATCGAAGCCGCTCGGCGCCAGCGCGAGGAAGAGCGGCGTCAACAGCAGGAGGTCTATGAAAAACGCTTCAAGCAGGCGCAAGAGGCGGCACGGCGTCGCGCCGAAGAGCGCGAGCGTGAACTGGAGCAGGAAGCTCGCCGCCTGCGCTTGGAAGAAGAATCTGCGCAGGTTGGTTGGTGTGTCAGGCGATGGGGGTTTGGAGACGTGGCTTAGCATTGTCAAAAGGGTTGACTTGACAAAGGACGTTTGGTCTTTTTCTTAATCACCGGGGTGGCTTTGTGCTCGCACCAGGTACGGGAGCAGCAAGAACGAGAAATGGCGGCTCGCAGTGCCCGCTTACAAGAGCGTCAGCAAGAAGAGGCCCAGGGCAAGCAGCAGGAGGGCACCTTTTTTGGGGTGCCTCTCAAGCGGGCCACTGCCCCCCAGAGCCGACAGGGCGATGCCATGCATCCCATGGTAAGTTTTGTGCCTGCTTGTGGCAAAAGGTCATGCATAGCGCCCTCCCTTCACAATTTTGGATTGCCGACCAGGTTCAACTCATGCAAGGCGCGAAGAGTCAGGGCCCACGGGTCCCTTTGGTGCCGGGCATGAAGGACACCAAGATGTAGCTACCTGGGTCAGATCTTGTTGTTTGGCTTGGGCTTCATCCATGTTGTTACTTGGCCGCCTCCGCTGCCGGCATGGCACATGGGCCAGTTGGGTCTTCTTCTAGTGCGCACTGGTCGCACATGTCGACGTGTTGGTGTGATACGTTTGTTTCTGGCTCGACCATGGCGAGTGCGCCGCGCCAATATGAGTTGATGATGAGCAGACAAGTTTTTTTTCTTTCTGTTCTGATCAAGAGCTGAAGCCAAGGCACCCGGGGTGCCTGGGGTAAACCCCTTGAAGCCAGCACAAAAGGCACACAGGCATCGAGTGTGATGAGCCCCGTCAGTGGGGCTTCAATTCAAAATCAAGAGGAAAGACAAGAAGAGTCAGAAATACAAGTACACCAAAGCAAACCCCGAGCAGTCTGCGTATCCGGCTCACAGGGTCAGAAAATATAGAGGAGCATGAGAGCTTGAGCATCCAAGCCCACTGCTCAGTTATTCAGGACGACACAGAAGAAAAGGGGGGCGAGTCGATGTGGAGCAAAATGGGGCGAATCTGTACGTGCGGACTGCAGAGCAGGGCTGCGGACAACGGAAGGCGCGCCCCAGCGCTAGATGGAGTCAGAAACAAGGCGTGGAGGCTAATCGTCAGGCTCAGCCGCTGGACTGCGAGGCGTCTTTCAAATGGCCATGGGAAGCTACACGGTCAAAACAAAACTCAAGGGTCAAGATAAAGTGTGTCAGAAGCAGGGCTTATTGCGCAGTGTTGGGCTCGAAGCGGTCGCTGAGCGAATCGTCGTCCTTGAAGGTGAAGCGCGAATGCATCGGGGCCATGGTAGCAAAGTAGGTAGCCAAAGTCTGCATGGCGGGGGTAGCGCAAGAATTTGCAATGTGACACAGGCCATCACGAAAAAAGAAAATCACCCTCGCGGTCATGACGCGACCGGGCGTTCAAGGGGGCTGACATAACCAAAAAGGGTTCCAGCAGCCCACAGCGTCGAGGTGCTTACGTGGAAGAGGGCAAAGGTGAAGCTGCCCGTAAAAATGAGGGCATAATTGTCGTAAGTCTCTTCCTGGCAGCCTTGCGGCTCATAGCTGGTGGGCAGGACAGCAGGTGCGGTCAGCACGTCAAGCCACAGGCGAAAAAGCGGGGTTGGCTCTGTCGAGCAGGCTGACAATACGTAGCATTGGGCTGTGAGCGTACCGAGAGCCGGTAGTGGGGTCTTTCTGCATGCAGTTCCACAGAAATCGGCCGCTGTCATCGAGAGGCCCACCGACAGCCACAAGACTAATGAGGCTGAGGAGGAGGCCCGACTTGAGGAGCGCTTTGCTTTTGCGAAAGCTGTAGCCCAGCAGACACAGGACGGCTAAAAGGCCGAGGACGGCGAACATGAACCTGTCCATTGGGTGAGCCCAGCGAGATGAGACGGCGTGGCTCTTGTTTGCGAGCTGGCCAGGGTAGGGAGTGTGGTGCATTGCGTACCATTGAGTGTGTTCGTCCGCGTTGCCCCAGCCTCGATCCTGAAGACGAGCGGCGTTGTTACCCTCGAGGGCAAGGCCGAGGACAAATTGAAGCCAACCCACCTAGGTCGCAGCGATTGGCAGAGCCATCACGGTTAGGTTGACGTGATGGGCAATGGATGTGTGCTCGAGGGCGGCGAAACGGTTCCCAGATGCGAGCGGGTGGGACGGGGCTTGGTGTGAGGTGGTGGGATGAGTAAGGACGAACCAGGGAGAAGCCGCATCCAGCCACGGCGAGATAATCATGCCAGGCACGGCCCATGATAGATGCTTAGAAGGGATGTGGGAGCAGCTAAAGGTGATGATGAGCCGAGTGTTGCGCTCGAGCCGCTTGAGGTCGCCGCAAAACTTGTCGGTGGGGGCCGCAGGCGTCGGCGGTGGGATACAAAGTGAAGACGAATAAAAATAAACGGTAGCTGAGGACGGCGGCAGAAGGGAGGTTGGGTCAGAAGAAAAATGTGAAGGGCAGCCACACCCTCAGCCAGCCAACAGGGTCAGGAAAATGAAAATCAAGAAGAAAAACAAAAAAAAAAAAAAAAAAAGACACGGAGAGGATTCGGCTCAGAAGCAATGACGGGGGACAAAGCATCTCGAGCAAGCAAGCGAGGCTGGCGTTGCTGTGGGCGGCGTGTAGCCCCCCAGCCTTACTCCTTTGATTCATTCGCGATCGGGTCAACGAGCAAGGCATGTTGTGCTGTGGAAGACGTGCTTCACCTTGATCCAGATCCAAACAATGTCATCATCACGATCGATAGTAGCGTTGGGAAGGGGTACGATGGTGATGGTGATGGTGAAGGAGAAGGAGGTGCGGGTGCTTCTTGTCCCAGATGTGCATGCATGCAGAGACATGCCATGGGGTCAGTTTTAGTTGAGGCTACAGAAAATGACCGCCCATCTCTTTTGTCAGATGTTTTAATGCTCATAGTCGTGTTCGTGAAAATGCAGCTGCTGTCCAGGGTAGCTGCTGCTGGAAATACTAAAGTTATTGCAGGATTTGTAGATGTGATAACGTTAATTTAAGAAGATGACAGGGCAGTTACTGTTGTTATGGTTGCGGTCTCCTCCAAAAGCTACCATTGGTCGTCCGCGCTCTGGACAATTCACTGTTTGGTTATGCCTTCCATGGGCTCGTGGCCGCACGATGTGAGGAAATTGCTGCGATTACTTCTTCGGCCATACCCAAGGGTTGACTGAGCTTTTGCCTTGATCGTTGTCCTCGATTGCTTCATCTTCTGCACCTTCTCCTGCATTTTCTTCTTCTTCACTCCGAGGTATGTCTGCTGTAAAACATGTGTGTGTGTGTGTGTGTGTCGTCTCCGACGCCCTCCGGCTCGCCTTCCTGCTCTGTGCGCGCCTACCTGCTCTGTGCGCGCCTTGTGCGCTGAGGGTCAAGGCTGGAGCTGGATGTCCCTTCTTCTTCCCCTTGTACTTTTGTGGTTCTCTTTGTGGGTTGCAGAAGGAGCTGGTCTCCCCTGACCGCCCCGGCCACCCAAAACTCTTCCAGCACTGATGGGCTGGATCGCCTGCATACCAACTACTCTCAGCTCAATACTCGTGTCCCCTGCGTAGTTGCCGCCACGCCGGAGCCATGAACATGACGGCGAGTTCCCGCATCGTGCTGGTGCTGGCCAGCCTGGTGCTGCTGCTCGTCACTCGCGCATACGGTGACCAAAACTGCTCCCTGCCCGACAGCAGCAAGCAAGACTGTGGTTTTGTCGGCATCACCCAGCAGCAGTGCCAAGGCAAGGGCTGCTGTTGGACCCCAGAGGAAAAGCGCGTCGCGCAAGACGTGCCCTGGTGCTATTATCCCGCCGCCGGCCCCAGCCCCCCGAGTCCTCCCAGCCCCCCAAGCCCTCCGCTCCCCCCATCGGGCTCCCCGCCCTTCAACGACCAAGAAGTGGCGCAGATGCGCGCCTTCTTCAAGGCCAACATTGACATTCAGGGCTCAGGTGGCGTTGTGGCGGCCCCCGACTACAACACCGGCCCTGGCGGAAGCTACTACTACCACTGGGCTCGCGATGGCGCCCTTTCCATGCACGCCCTGCAAATCACCGCGGATAGCTCTGACGATTACATGGCTCAGATGAACCACTATGTGCGCTGGGTCGTGGCCCGCCACGCCGAAGCCGACCCGCATAGTACGTAGATCGACCCACCTCGCCTTACCATTGGGCCGCTCAGCGCGCGTAACGACTTGGCTCGAAATGTGAACGATCAACTCACCGGCCTTTTTTTTTTTCTTTCTTTTTTTTTTTTCTTTTTTTTTTTTTTTTTTTTTTTTTTTTTTTTTTTTTTTGCATTTTCAACTCTATAATCTGCATCACGACTCAGACATGGACGTGCGCGTGGAGCCCAAATACGAGCTGCCCAGTGGAGATGTTTTTGCTGGTACGTTCGTCTCGTCACGCGCATCCCATCCCACCCCGCGGCCTTGGTGGCCTGTGCACGCCTATATTGCGCCTTCGCATCGACATTTTTGCTTCTTCCTGCTCCTTGTTCATACCCGTCTTTGAATCGTGACGGCGTGGCGGCGGCTGCAGGGAGCTGGTGCCGCCCACAGAACGACGGTCCCGGCTTGCGGGCCCTGACCCTGATGTACTTTGCCAACACGCTCATCGCCAAGGGCAACGCTTCACTTGTGTCTCAGCTCTTGTGGACGGGCAGCAGCAGCGCCTATCAAGGCGGTGCCATCAAGGTTGGTCCTCCGCCCACAACGTCGCCCGCACTTGCTCACCGCCAATGTCTAGGGCGTGGGTGGTCGACATGGGGCGCTGACTGACGCGGCTCTGCTCCGGCCTTGTTTGATAGTTTGACCTGGATTGGGTGGCCGCCAACTGGCAGTCCAACACCTGTGACTTGTGGGAGGAGGTCCAGAGCCAGGACTTTTTCTGGAACCACTACACGATGCGCAAGGCCTTGTTCACCGGCGCCAACTTTGCTGCCGCCATGAATGACACGGCCTCGGCCGCCACCTATCTGGCTGCCGCTCAGGCCATCAACGCCACCATTACGCAGCACGACAACGGTCAATTTGTGTATGAGTCGCAGAACCGCCCCAAGGATGCGGCCGTGATCTGCGCTTTTAACAACGGCCTCATGAACGACGGCATCTTTCAGCCTGCAAGGTGCGTGGTCGGTACCATCCATTGTTCCTTGGGCGCCTGGGGTTGAACCTCGTGGATGGGAGCGACTGTTCGTGGGGGGCCTTTTCCTTTCTTTTTTTCTTTCCCTTTCTGTTTTTCTGTCCCTTCTTGTGTTCTTGCACAGCGGATGCGCCTTGCTGAAAATGGGGAATGTGGTCTGTCCGTAGCACGCCCGTGGCCAACACGATCAGCACTCTATCCTCGCTGTTCCATGACAGCTACAACTTGAATCAGGCCGACGATGCGGCTGGTGTCCCCGGTATTTTGTACGGCCGCTACGAAGGCGATAGCTATGACAGTGCGTTTCTCGCCTGCCATGTTTTCTCAATCGTGTTGTTTGGGCCTGTTTCGTGACAAAAGACTCAACGTGTCAATGTCTCGTAAAGCGGTTCCTTCAAACACCACTTCCAAAACTAATTTTTTTCCCAACCCTTAGACGGCAACCCTTGGGTCTTGACGACGGGTTGCTTGGCGGAGCTGCTGTACCGTGCCAGCGCGCAGGTGCTGACGCGTGGCGCCGTGCTGGCGGAGGAGGCTGTGGCTTGGTTGGGCGCATTGCAATCAACCAACCGGGTGCAACTCGAGGCTCAGACAGCGGAGGAGCTGCAGGATCCTCGTGTGTTGGGCCGTGCACTGGCTCAGAGTGGCGATGGCGTCTTGTTGCGCATCCGCTACCACACGCAATCCATTGGCTTCCATATGCCTGAGCAGCTGGACAAGAACACGGGAGCCAACTTGAGCGCCTATGATTTGACCTGGAGCTATGCCACCGTGCTCAAGGCCATGAAGGCGCGCGAAGACGCCATTGCCGCCTACCGTGCTGCCCTCTTCCTGGACGCGTAAAAATTATTAAACTGCTTACATGTCAATCCTGAACAACACGCCCATTCATATTAACGGCTGTGCGAGTCTTGCCTTGGGGCGAGTGGCCTGCACTTTCCAGTGCACGCCATTTCCCTCGGTCGCCGATCGGGTGCCCAAACTTGGAGGTATAAATCGATATCAGCTCTCCTGCCTTTTTTTCTGCTATGGGATGCTGGACACGTCTAGAACAGTCAGCTCGGTATTGAGTGTCAGCGCCATTCAGTGTTGGGAATGAATCTGAATTGCGTTGAAGGACTCTGTGTCGGTGATGCATGTGATGGCGCTGGCTGCTGGATGGGATGAAGAAGTCATACACAACAACACGAGAAAGGGGTGCATGTTCGTTGAACAACACGAGAAAGGGGTGCATGTTCGTTGACGTTTTGGTTCTTTGAAGTTGACATCGTCCTCAGGGGCAGGCATGAAATCAATCTGATTCTGATTTCAGCGTCAGCGTAAGCCCTGCTTCTGTAGCACAGAGACAGAGGCAGAGAGAACAACAAAAAGAGAAAGAGGGGGAAGGATTCGGAGGGCGCTGCCATTTTGTTCCGTCGAAGTGTCCCGTACAAGGTGTTTCGTAACGATGTCTTGCTTCGCAGCATCATCATGATCATCATGACGATGGCGCTCATGGCGACATGTCTACCAATGTTCACACTTTACGCTGCGCCCTTTTGGCGATACGTGTGCGATGGCGTCAGGAACACAACGCGAGAGATTGCCACGTCAGGCAGAGAGGGCAGAGCCGGGTACGGAACGGCAGTGCCAATGTTGCCGTCCCGATGACAAGCCGCTTGGCCCTTGTACCCAGTGCACAAGTCATCGCATGCCGTGCCGAAAAAGAAAAATTAAGCATCTCAAGCCGCATTCGGAACGGCCAAGAAAACAGCACAAGATGCAGCGAACCGCGTCGTAAAAGGACCAAGCAATCCCAACATACTGCGACTCTCACAAAGAAGAAAAGAGAGAGAGAGAGAGAGAGAGTGAGAGAGAGAGAGCGAGAGTGAGAGTGAGAGAGACAGAGGAACTGGAAAGAAAGGGACATAAGGAACTTGATTTCATCTTTCCACACACACATTCATTCTCTTGTATTTCACGACGTTACCGCCTTGATTGTAAGTGGATCGACGTGTGTGTGTGAGAGAGTGTGTGTGGGAGAGAGAGAGAGAGAGAGAGAGAGAGAGAGAGAGAGAGAGAGAGAGAGAGAGAGAGAGAGAGAGAGAGAGAGAGAGAGAGAGAGAGAGAGAGAGAGAGAGAGAGAGAGAGAGAGAGAGAGAGAGAGAGAGAGAGAGAGAGAGAGAGAGAGAGAATGAAGTGTGTGTGTGTCGGGGATGGCAGCGCCTTTGCGGATCTGTTTTTGATGGGATGAAGAGCTTTATGGATGCATTCGAGGTTTCCATTCTTGGTCGTGAGGTTGCAGTCAGGTCGACGGCGGAGGGCGAGCTGGGGAGCGTCTGGCCCGCTATCCGCATCAGCAGGGACGCCGTGATTTTTTTTTTTTTTTTTTTTGTGTGTTCTCAACTCATCTTGCTTCGTCGTTGCTGGACGTTGGCGGCTTTCGGTGGTGCTTGGCAGTGGTAGCATTTCGATTGATACCTGTTCGATTGATACCTGTCGGTGTGAATAGGCAGGCAGCTGCAGCTGCATCTGATATGCGTAAGCGCGTAGCCTGGCCGTCTCTCTGCGATTTCCTTGCTTAGCGTCAACCGCAGCGCCATGGTTCTCGAAGACGCCTCCGTGGTCGCGCGGACCGCCAGCTCTGACGATGGGCATTCCGAAGACGACGCCTTGGGTGCCAGCAAGCGCACCAAGCTTCTCGCCGATGATGAAGAGGGCGAACTGCAGCGGCGCCTGCAACATCGCAAAACAGAGGCCGACCGCCGCAAGCGTATCAACGATGCCCTTCGCGACTTGCGTCGCTTGACAGGCACCCCCTCGTCCACCGAACGCTCCACCGTGCTTATGCTTGCCGTTCGCCTCATTGAGAAACAGCAGGCCCAAATCGATCTGTTGGAGCAGCGCTTGGTCAATGCCAATGCCAATGTCAACGCCAAGAGTGCGAGCCCAGCCGCCCAGACCAACCCGGCCGCTTCACCAGTCACCACCACCACCACAACGCCCACCACAATGAGTGCTGCCACTACGGCCGCCCTGGCCAGCGGACCAGCCAGCGGTGGTCACACGCCCAGCTCCGCCGTACCCTCCCCTGACACCGTAGGTAGCAACGATACCTGTGACAGCTTCTCCAGCTTCACTGTCCCTTCCCACCACCACAGTAACCAGGACGCCACAACCACAGCGGTCGCCACCACAACCAGCACCACGACCAGCAACGCCGCTACACACGAGCAATTTGACCTTGGCGATTCCTGGCTCTTGGCTATGGATACAACGACAGACACACGTGCCGGTGATACCCGATCACACCCAGCCCCTGAAGCTCTCCTGGCACTCGACGCCATTGGCATGCCCTCGGACGCCGCCACCGCTGCTGCCCTGGGCGCTGCCGCCAGCCCAGGCGTGATGGCAGATCTGGGCGCCATTGCCGCCTCAGGCTCGGACATGAGTGATTGGGACTTCAACCTCAACCTCAACTTTGACCTAGCCAGCGATATGCGTCATCTCAACAGTGATCCCCTCCCAAGCCGTTTTACTGATCAGGCTCAGGCGGCCACAGGTGGCGCTGTTCCCGCCAGTCTGGATCAGGACACCCAGTGTGCCACGCAGGGCTGTGCCAGTCTCACGCTCAATGTATCTCCTCATTGTTCCCTCAATCGACCCACGGCAGCCATTCGCACCGGGGAGCTGCTACAGTATGCAAGCTTGGGCCACCCACCCCTCAATTCTTACAACCTCCCCAATCACCTTTGCGTCTTCCTTCTCTCCACCAGCGGCATCATCCTGGACTGCAACGATGCCTGTCTGCGCCTCTTTGAACTTGACCGCGACAGCTTTCTCGGTGGATTTGTGGGTGGACTCAACCTCTTTATGGACCACAACATTGATCTTGAGGGCCGCCGAGCTCTGATTCACGGCAACAAGCACACATGTTGCTCCGTCAAGCGCGTCCGTCGCCGACGCTCGGGCCAAGTCATGTGGGTGCGCAAGACACTCCGTCGCAAAGGCATGATTCCAGAGTCCGCATTTGGACCCATGACTCGCTATGCCTTTGGCATGATTGAGCCCGTACAACCGCCCGCCGATGGCAAACCTTACGTGATCGATGATCCTTCGTTTGTCATTCCCGGCCCTGAACACCCGCTGTCTGAGGAATCACTGATTCGCAAAGCCTATCAGTCTTCATGAACCATGGACGCAAACGCTATTGCCGTATGAGGTGACAAGTCCTGCCCCGCGCATGATCGTTGCATCACTCCTGCAGGCTTTATGGCGTGCGGGCGTGTCTTGTTTACGCTCTTTTTTCTTCACGGACAAGTGGACGTGATTGTAGTGACTCTTTCCTCTCTCGCTTGGCGGGTTGTGTTTTTTTTTCTTTTGAAGGGGGAACGAGCTTGGGCCACTTCTGCAACATTTGGCTGCCTCGGTGTGCGAGTTTTGCATGCTCAATCGTGTTGTCGGCGCCCAGAGTGGGCGCACCGACATCTTTGTTTATGGTCGTCTTTGTATTTGCTGTTCATCTCAGATCTTTGCTTCACTCTCTTCTCCAAGCATTTGTTTGATCTGATGGGCCTGTGCCCTGTGTGCGCAGGTCAACGTTAGTGTGCATCTTGTGACTGGTTCGTCTGTTCATGTGAAGGCTGGTGTTGTCCGCACTTGTGCTTCACGACTTTGATACTTGTCGTGTCGCTGTGTGCGTCACTCGATGTGTCGTACTCGGTTGTTTGTGTCTCGTTGCATCATATCTACAAATTTCATGTGCTGGCCAGTGTCAGCCGCCGTTGGGCATGGTCGTCTTGTCAATTGAAACAATATCTTGACAACCTACTCTGTGTATTAAAATATGATTCACACCGTTCGGGCCCCATGTCGCCTGGCTTGTTGGGTCGGCTCAATTCTTCTTCTCATGCTGGGCCGCATCAATGATGCCAATGTTTTGCGACGCCGTCACCAGCTGAATCAGGCTAAAAGAAAGAGGCCCCGTGTAGTCAGTGCGGGAAGGCGGTCGCGATTGTAGCCATGCCATTGCAGCGAAAAACATACCCAACGAGATGCTTGATGGCGAAGAGCGGGGCCGAAATGTAGCCGATAATTGGCCACAGATGCAGAGTCAAGCCAGCGACTTCAACTTTGGGTGCAGAGGATTTGGTTGCGACAGGATTACAGGGATGCGCCATGAGGTTAATGCAGGGTTGAAACACACAACCACAAAAAACAAAACCAAAAACCAAAAACCAAAACCCCAAGGTCATACACAGCAAAGGGGCAGGGAGTGCAGGGGCAGGGGGTCAACGACCTACCAGTGCCCAAGATGTCAAAGTGCACAAAGTAGAGAGCCATGAAGAAGAGCTCATTGGCCGAGCAGAGGGCAAAAAGAATTGGCTACATGGCCCGGCATGTAGGCCCAGCATCGATGTGAGGCGTGTTCACCCCGTATCGAGCTGGGGCAAACGCAGTCTTGGTCTTTTGTGAGTGGCGCCTCTCGTTGAACCAACCTTCATGTAGTAGTAGCGCAGGAAGGCGTTTTCAGAAAGGTCGATCTGCTTATGACTGGTTTTACCCTTCATCATTGAGCTGTCGTCCAACGCAGGTGATGGCACGGTGAGAAGTCAAGGCGACGCCAACAGGGGTGCACCCAACTGGAACACAAGCCAACCTATACATTTGCAGCCAGTGGCTGCTGATATCCAACACAACCAAAAGTTGAAAGGCCAAGAGATAGCCGGGGTAAAACATGGCGCAGTTCATGATCAAGCATAGAGTGGTGCAGCTAACGATGGAGCAGACAGGGGCGTCGTGAGATCGAGGTGCGGGACGGAAGATGGCAAGGTGTGGATGGCTGGGCAGGTAGGTGCTGGGCTGATGCACTTTACCGGTCTGACACCATGTCCAACACGGCGCCGAAAGACGTGCCTTTGTGAAGCAGACAAACATGGCATGGTTGAGTGAGACTGCACCCACGATGTCACCCAGCGCGAGCGCGCACGGGGTGAGCGAGGCAACTGACTTTGGTTGAAATGCCGGGCAGCCATGCCATCAAAAACGTCCAAGAAAGCGCTTAGCCAGTACAGAGTCATGGCCACATACGGCTGGTCGTTCTGAACAAAGGAGCCGAGCGAGACGCCACAGTCATTAGGTGGCAGGTGGGGGGGTGGGTTAGGCGATGAGCGACATGCCAGGCCACATGTTCCAACGGCCAGCGGCTGGTCCCAAACGCTTAAACGTACCATGTAGAAGAGCGAGGCAATGCCCAGCACCACGCGAGCAAACCCAATGAGATTGGGCACGAAGAGGAAGATGTTCACAGCCATGCTGCCGATTGATCAGCGAGAGATATTTTGGCTCCAGCGACCTTTGAACGAGTGAATTTTTTTTAAAAAAAAAAAAATTGCAGTCATCAAATGTGTGTGTTGTCGCGTTGACAGAGAGACAGAAATTTCATTTTTTTTTTTTCCATTCGAAGTCAAATGTTAAAATACATCCACGCACGAATGGTGCGAGTGCAATTGGTGGGGTCTCATCTCTTCGGACTTTCTGAGACGGCTATGACGTTGGTTTTAAATGGCACGGTTGATGTCGAGGGGTTTGGGACTCAACAAAAAGCCTCGAATGCAAGGGCTCAAATTGGATCGGGCCTCGGCCAAGACATGACAGGGAATTACTGCTCCACAAACACATAGCAGAGTCCTAGCAAACGTCGTGGACTGGTCAATCCTCGAAGCTCGATTCAAGACTGGACTGGTCCTGGGGTCGGAATCTGGCTCAGCCACTGGACAAAATCCTGGCGAATATGGTGGGCTGCCAACTCCCCGTCATGGCGCATTTGGATCAGCTGCTCTTCAGTGGCGCGGGTCATTCGATTGTACGGTGCGTTGCCGCGAATGGGCAAACCATACAGGGTTTCTCGCACACCTTCAGCCAGCCAAGAGCGGCGAAAAGGCGACAGGAGCGCACAGCGCTGCCGTGGCAGATTGGAAAAGGTGGGGTACACCTGGCACAAAGCCCCATCCAAGCCAAAGACGCGCACGTCCTCCAAAAGACGTGGCCATTTGAACGAGGTGAAGGCCGGAGTATTGGCTGACGTAACAATCATGTCAACCAGGGCGCGAAACACGGGCTCGGGTTCTAAAGGATTAGCCGCAAGCGGTGGTTCGGATCGCAAACAGCCAGAGGTGATATCAAAATAGCAGATGCGCAGACTGCGTAACAAGGCGTCATACGCCTGGTTCTCCATCAACAGATCGCGCTGCATGAACAGGGCTGGCTCAATCACGTCGTCCAGCAGGCCACACACGGTGCCACTGCCTCGCGCCTGCTCAAAGACGCGGTCGCAAATGTCCTTAAACTGCTGTCGGCTCTGCGAGGCCAAGAAGATGGCCCCCACAATGGCACCCGCAGACGAGCCTACCAGCTTGACTTGGCCGCGCACGCAGGGCTCATGCAGCAGGTCGTACATGGCATACAAGAAGCCCGCGTAGTACACGCCGCCAAAACCAGCTGAAGACAGCGTGAGGACCAACGTGTCTTCATCAAAGTCAGTCACTTTCTTTTCCTGTGACCCGGTAAGAAGCCTCAAGCATGAGATGTAGGCGAAGCAGCCATGGTGTGGGGACCAGTGGGTCAAGCTTGCTGCCGCGGGACGAGGTGCTTTGCACTGACCGGTTCGCGCACGAGCGCCTTGAGGAGGCGAATGCAGAGGTCTAGAACTGAGTCAGCGGCGCGGCAAGCGCGATAGACGCCCAGCAGACGACAGTAAAATTGAGCCACGGCGTGGCAGCAGAACAAAGCCACATCATTTGGTGCCACCGAGAGCACCGCCGGCATCACCATCCTACAATCATGTTATGCACGAGTCACCGGGGTGTGGGGCAAGTGAGTTTGCCTGGGCGCCGGCAGTGCGCAGCGCTGAGCCGTACTGACCGGCAAGTGACCGTCATGAGATACGCCAGCGTCTCCATGACGAGTGACAGCGTGCAGGTTCTTTGTAATGGAAGCGAAGTGGCCGTGTGCCTTTTTGGCCAGCGTTGAAAATGCTTCCACGTCCTGGTGTGTGCGGCAGGCCAGCTTGGCCACCAAACGCCTCCTAACCCCCGAGCCATCATCCTGGAGCGCCCTTGCACATGCGCAACCATGTCCCAGAACCATGAACACTTGAGCAGCAAAACAAAACACGCTGACACTCTGACAAAATTGTCAGCGTTGATGAAACTCGAGACGATGGTAGAAGTCGGGTGTGGCTGCGCTGCGCCTTGGACACGAGGCACCCAAGATGTCGAATGATGGGTGACGTGACGTGAATTAATTGTTTTTTTTTTTCTTCATTCTGACTTCCCTGTCAGCCCTTGTATTTTGGTGTTTAAGAGGGGATGGAGGGGTTCAAAACCAAAGCAATCCAATCTAGATCCAGAGAGCTGCCAGGCGCTTGCGCCCTGCCAGGTTGCTCAAGACAAAGGTCAGCGCAACCAAGGCGGTCAGCACCAGCGTCAGGCTCACAAAGTCAAAGTCTGAGTTGAGGCGATCGTATTGCTTGCTCGGCGAATGCTATCAACCCCACAGCAGGTAAAACACCACCAAAAAAGAGCAAAACACATCAGTGAGAGCGCACTTGAGGAGACGCCAACGGGAGTCGCAGCAGTGTGTCTAGGGAAGCATCCAGCCAGCCGTCTCTTGTCTTGTCGAGCAAAGCGATGAGCGACTCTTGAATTTCTGGCGCAGCCGCTCAAGGCTTGGAGAGCGACACCGACCTGCGTCAAGAAGATATCAGCACCAAAGGCCACAACGATGCAGGTTGACTCCAGACCCGTGGGCGCCGTGACGATGGTGCGCAGGTTCTCAACCGTGTGGTTGTAATTGAGAATGGACCGCGTGCTGACAGAAATGAGCGGGTGGTAATCAGGCAGGCCAAGAGCTGCGCCGGCGCCCTTTTCCGCGGGTCTATGTCCAAATCAAGATTCCAAAGCAGGCATAATACAGGGATGATGGCCAAAGATGGCAGGTGTCAGCAACAATGAAGCAGCAAGTTCAACCAAGACGGCAATGACAGGGTCGAGCCACCCACCGGCGGGCGCTAAACATGGGGCGCGGGAGAGACAACACGCCGCCCGAGGCCAGCCCGACTAGCGCGTTACGTTGTGTCACACCCTAGCAACCAGATCCGACACGTGAGCAGGAGTTGCGCCTGAACCCGAGATGGACAAAAAGCAAGCCAAAGTTTGATCCCCATCGCCAATACAGCCACCCAGCGGCGACCACAATGCTGCACCCTCTTCATCTCCTCTCCTACAGGTAGGGCAGCACGACTGACCAAAGCCGTGTTTGTGACAGCGAGTCGGTTGATAAAGCCCGGGAAAGCATAGGATTGACGCAGAACAAGCGGCTCCTGGCGTTTGAAGGACGAAAAGCCCTGCTCGGCCACCTGTCACGGTCCGCATGGAGCAACAGTTGTGATCAAGTCGTGCAAAAAAACAAGAGGAAAACAAGCAAAAAAAGAAAGCAAAACAAAAAAACAAAAAACAATAAACAAAAAACAAAAAACAATTAAAAAAAAAAAAAAAAAAAAAAAAAAAAAAAAAAAGCAAACAAACAAACGCAAGCAACTCCGCCGAGTGTGAGCAGACCAGAAGACCGTTCGCTAGAGACACACCTTGCCCATGCTATCATAGAGCTCGGTGACGGCAATCTCCGTGCGCTTGTGTTTGCGGTCACGGAAGGAGTACAGGACCCAATTCTCAGCCATGGTCAGACAGGCCGGCCCTCGCACGTTGTCGTGTTGGACACGATCCACAAAAGCTCCCTGTGAAGAGGAGTGGGCATGTTAGTTCAACGCATGGGCCAGCAGTCACTCGTTTGGAAAGAAGGACGATACACGGACCGTGACAGTATCAATGATGGCCACGGTCAACACGGCGCTGCGCTTGACGTAGGGGGACAGCGTAGCGACGGCCAGGAGGTTGGGGTTGGTGTACTTGAATAACACAGTCTTGTCCGCCAAGATCTCGCCCTGACAGGATTGAGCATACACCACTATGAAGCGGGCGGGCGCTGCTTTGAAACAGGCACAAGGACAATGATTCACAAGCAGACGTACCGGGGAAGCAATGCGTTGATAGGCGGGCAGCATGGCCACATCGGCCACAACTTCGCCTTGGGGAGCCAGGTCGAGCTCATATGTAGGTTGAGCCGTACCATTAACTAGCAAATAGCCACGCAGCACGCCCACCCGACGCTCCAAAATGAAGAAATAGACCGGGGTTGAAGTCTGCTCCTCCACCTTGGGTTCGGGAAAGAAAGCAACACTGAAGAGTAGGAGCAACCATCGAATCGGAGTGAGGCAAGAACGTTGGCCACGACGGCACGAGCAAAATTTGACAAGAAAATAAAAAAAAAGGCTTAATGCTCACCTGCCATCGCGGCGAAGAACGGCCAGGATCTGGGCTTCGGCACTTGATGAAGGAATGACAGCAAAGCCTCGGACATCGGCCACAACCTGCTCCGACAGGCCCTTTGTTTTGACCGGGGTACCTGTCAGGCCATCAAAGAACGTCACCGTGTCCTCGGCGGCTGCAGGACAACCAGGCGCGCAAGCATGGGTCAGATAGGACAGGCAGCAGGCACAAACTTTAGGTCGAAGCACCGCACTCAAGTTGCACTAGGTGAGTAACACACGTCAGAAACATTGTGCAAACAAAACGGGCAACACGTACAGCTGCCGTGGCAAGCGCGGGCAATCACCGAGGAGCCACGGGTGGCAGACTGTAGAAGGAAAAGGCGGCACTCCAAATCTTCTTGTGTGGGAGGCGCCGGCAAAGTGTAGGCCAGCTGGCCGTCCACTGAGTTCAGGGCATAGACTTGACCATGGCGGTCAACGGCCAACACCATCTTGTGGAGGCGGAAGAGATCGGTGGTCAGATCCGAGTCGTGCCGGGGCTGAAACAATGCCTTGACATCGCCCATGGTCGACGCAACACGGCGCAGGAAAGCTGACACTGGGTTGCTTTCCGCAAAGAGCATGCGCTCGCCCTCAGCTACAGAGCCACATCCAAGGTGGGACGCCATTCAGTATAATGACCAGGCCCCGGTAGTGCTGCGAGATCATCGCAACGGCATCATCAAACATACGTGGAGCAAGATCGATGATCAGACTATCAACGACATCGGCCAGGCCCTCCAGTCGTTGCCAGCGCACGCCGTTGTCGTTTTCAAACGAAGCTAGGACGCCGTTGTCAAAGGCCACAACGACGCTGGGCAAGGCCACGAAAAGCGAAATATTGGGACCAAAACCAACAACAGCAGTTTACACCATCAGTCTTCCACTTACACCCGCACACTGGCAGCGTTTAAAGGCAGCCCGCCCGGGCTCGCCAGTTGGCATGGGCCACACCGACACGGCAATATCGTACCTGGAGTCCACGGCCGCAAAGTCAACGACAGCGACGGCTGGGGAGGGGAACGGCAAGGAAAAAGATTTGCCCTGAACCTGAAAGAAGAAGAAGAAGAAGAGTTTCATGTTTCCCAGAGTGAGTTTGACGTCTCAAAGCTTGGTTTTGAAAGAGGTCAGGGCACAAGAGAGCGCGGCGCACCGAAATCTGATCGCCGGAAATGGTGGCATCCGTGGCAATGCCTTCAACGAGGACAGCTTCTTGACGCTCGATCAACAGAGTGTGAGTAGATGGCGCGGCCGTCTTGATGATGAGGGCTTGTCCATCACGACGCTGCAAACACCCACAAGCCAAGCCACAGACAGGTAAGGTGTGTGTGGGGGGGAAGGGTAGGCCTGCAAGGTGTGTGTGTGTGTGTGTGTGTGTGTGTGTGTGTGTTGAGGGGGGAGGGGGATGACAATTGAGAAAAACGGCGTTTACCGCGGCGACGGCAGTGGGTTTGGCGGGAAGGCTCAGGGTTGAGGCCGAGTTATTGCTGTTAGCTATGAGGAACAGAGTCAAGAAGGCAGATGCTCAATTCGGGTGAGGCTTCCCCATGTTGCATTCCCAATCCAAAACCGAGGAAATAGGGCTGTCCAAAACTCACCGTTAGCGCCCTGAAGAGCAGTGATCACCACGCCGCGCTCAGCTTCGCACACGAGGTTTGCAGGATGGAGCAGATAGCACGTGGTTCCTGCCGTTTCGAGGTCCAGCTGTCGCAAGCAAGGCGCGACAAAGGCATAACATGAAAGGAGGAAAGGTGGCCGACATGCAGGCACGGCGTTCGTTGCAAGGGCAGCTTTAAAATAGCATTGGCCCAGGTGAACCATGAGCTCACCTCGGTCTTGGTCTTTTGGTCCAGGTCAAAGTGGAACACCTTCTGTTCATCACCCTCATCTAATGCGGGGCAGATACATGGGTGCAAGGGGGGCCAAGGCGGCGTGCATGAGCTCATTCATCCCTTGATCATTTTCAAAAATTGTTTCACAAGGTCCCGGCATGGTCCGTACTGGCCACGATGGCGTGCGCTGAGCTCTGCTCTGCGTCAGCAATGACTCCCTGCACCGTAAAGCTGGGCAAGGGCGGATGGCCAGGTGAGGTCGGGGCTGGAGCATGGCTAGGCTAACGCAGGGAGCCCGTATAGCATGTAAAGCAGCGAACAAACCCTGTCGGCAGGCCAGACTCCCAGAAGACGGCACCATCTTTGAGGGAGACAAAGACAACACGTTCCTCGGCCGCCAACACGACCAGGGGTAGGACGCGGTCAAGATAGAAGGCACTCAGCTCAAATGCAGCGGGCACCCAGCTGGCAGGCCTCGTTGCTGCTTCTCCGTCCACAGTCGAGGCCAGCGGCACAGCCGTATCATACACCACAGCACCATCCTCACCATCCAGGCGAAGGACACGGTCATGGAAAACGACAACAACGTCTGGATTCAGGTCCCCCCATATGGAAATTGGTATACATAATCAAAACACTTTGTATGAGTCTTGGTCACGCTTGATCAAACCAGCCGAGCAACTCATGTTTGTGATTAAAGCAGGCAAGGCAGAGAGCTGAATTAGACCAAGGCGGCAATATGTGTTTGCCAAGCATGCATGTGTCGGCGTACCGTCCTTGAACACGAGCAGGTTTACCAGCTGCGCTGATTCCAGAAAGACACGGCGCCAAGCTATGAAAAAATGACCACGCGGGGACACGGGGAGTACAACCAAGCCAAGGGCGGGGGTGAGATGGGGTTCGGGCTCAGCAAAACAGACTTCACTGGCAGCTCGGTCGGCACACGGCCCAGCCACCTCAGCTAGGTCGCTGGTTGGGAGTGGGGTCTGGTCTGCACGCGTGGACGAGCGATTCTTCCAAGAGCATGGCATACCAATGTCGCCAGACGTGCTGTCCAGGCGGGCTACAATGCCCTGAGTACTGGCGGTCAAGACATCGCCCTGCAAAGGCTGCACAAAGGCCGGAGGTCCGACGAGCTGCTGGTGCCTAGAGACACGCACGAAGACTGTCAGAAGCGCCATAGGTCGTGGTTGCCGGCGCGGAGGAACAAGCACGTCAGGTTAGCGCACCAGTCGAAAAGGCCAGCCTGATCCTCAAAGATGGCCCCGGTGGCTGCCACCAAGAGCGTCAAGATCCATAGCGACTGCATGGTCCTCGTGGCGCTGCCGTTCAAAGCAGACGCTCATGCGAGGAAGAGAGAGAGAGAGAGTGTGTGTGTGTGTGTGAGACTGTGAGAGAGAGAGAGAGAGCAACGACGAAACCCTTGGTGTGCGGTAGTCTAACATCTGTCACACTCCACACCTACGTAAAGTGTAAGCTACGTCACGTTATCAACGGACTCAAGCCACACACTGTTGCCACGCGTTCAACCTGCAGCAGGGACCAGATCTAACACTTGGTAACACAGAGTGAGAGAGAGAGAGAGAGAGAGAGAGAAATAAAAAGAGAGAGAGAGAGAGAGTGTCAGTCAGCGTTCACGTGGTTACATGCATGTGTGGGGATGTCAAGCGGGTTATGGTGCTGGATGTTCACATGAGTGTGAAGAGCGAGCGGTGACTGAAAATGGCGCGTAGTGGACTTTCTTTTTCTCTCTCTCTCTCTGTGGTGCGTGCGTGCCTCAGACTCGCGTCGCTGGCATGTCTGGGGGGGGGTCTTGGGTGATGGCTTTGGTGCAATGGCAGCGGTGTATGGCCGTGCGGTGCCTATGGCTCATGTGGGACGCTGCCAATTTGGTGCCTTTTAGGGCGCGTGAACTGGGATAATCCCCTGTTCGCCGAGATCCTACCTTGGCTTTTTTTTGGTTCGTTTTACCAGCATGTGCTCGGGTCTAAAGCGTCAGAACGCTATTCTACAAGCTCTGTTCTCTTGGCGCCTGCCATTTGTTGCTTCCATCAGTTTGGTCCTGACGCCCCGAAACCGTTTGTCTTGCTGAACACCTCATTAGATTCTTCCATCACTTTCAAGCCGCAACCATGGTATGCGCAAAGTCGCAAGCCAACGCAGCAATGACTTGTTGATGGTGCCCTCCATCGCTTCCAACCTCACGCATGGCAACGTATAGGCTGATACCCCTCAGGCCCAGCAACTGCTGGACCAGATTCAGGCGGCCGGTGATGCCGTCCGCACTCTCAAGTCCAACAAGGCACCCAAGGAGGAAGTGCAACCTGCGGTTGACCAGCTGCTCAAGCTCAAGGGCGACTACAAGGCTCTCACTGGCCAGGATGTTCCCGCTCCCGGCAAGCAGGGCAAGGTTAGTTGTGCACGCTCTTGTTGTCACTCCTAACACTTCTCTAGGCCCATCTCATCCGCTGCACTTGTTCCGGTGTTCTACCACCCCTGTAGAAGGACAAGAAGGGCACCGAATCGGCTGCTGTGGCCGCTGGTGGTCTGAGCAAGAATGCTCAGAAGAAGCTGGATAAGCAGCGCAAAAAGGAGGAGGGCAAGGCTGCCAAGGGTCCCGCCCCTGCCGCCGCGGGCGCCGGCAAGAAGAAGAAGCAGGATGAGGAGCTCAACCCCTCGCAATACTACGAGATCCGCTCGCAGGCCATCCAAAACCTCAAGACCTCGGGTCCCGTCCAACCCTACCCCCACAAGTTCCACGTCTCCATCTCCTTCAAGTCCTTCCTGCGTCAGTACAACCACCTGCAGAACGCCGAGCAGTCGGCCGATGAGGTCTCCATCGCCGGCCGCATCTACCTCAAGCGTGAGAGCGGCCAGAAGCTCCGCTTCTACGATCTCCACTCCGAGGGTGAGAAGATCCAGGTCATGGCCGAGTTCAGCAAGCACGACAACAGCATCATCCCCTTTGCTGACATTCATGACATCCTCCGTCGTGGTGACATTATTGGTGTCCGTGGCCACCCTGGTGCGTCCCTGTCTCAAAATACGCTTGCGACTCGTCTGCCTTGTCACATGTCTGTGATGCTCATGACTCAGACTTTGCCTTCTTTGTATGTAGTGCGCACCCAGCGTGGTGAGCTCAGCATTGCGCCCGTGGAGATCCAGCTCTTGTCGCCCTGCCTGCGCGTGCTGCCCCACCAGCACTTTGGTATCACTGACATGGAGACTCGCTTCCGTCAGCGCTACCTTGACCTCATGGTCAACAGCAAGGCTCGTGAGAACTTTATCACCCGGTATGTCATGCAAAGCAGTCGAGCATAAGAACAAGTGAGGAGGCGTTTGTTTTCATTCCGGCTTCACATGCTTGCTCTCATTTTTTCAATACATTGTCTCCCTTGCAGTGCCAAGATCATCACCTACCTGCGTCGCTTCCTTGACAACATGGGCTTCCTCGAGGTCGAGACCCCAATGATGAACCAGATTGCTGGCGGTGCTACCGCCAAGCCCTTCGTCACCCACCACAACGATCTCAACCTGGACCTGTTCATGCGCGTGGCTCCCGAGTTGTACCTGAAGATGCTCGTCGTGGGCGGCTACGACCGTGTTTACGAGATCGGCCGTCAGTTCCGCAACGAACAGATCGATCTGACGCACAACCCCGAGTTCACTTCCTGCGAGTTTTACATGGCCTACGCCGACTACGAAGATCTCATGGAGGTCACCGAGCAGCTTCTGGCCGGTCTTGTGCTGTCCATCAAGGGCTCGTACAAGATCAAGTATCATCCCAACGGCCCTGATGGCGAGGAGCACGAGATTGACTTCACGCCTCCTTTCCGCCGCATCAGCATGATCGAGGGTCAGTCGACTGTTCGTGCTCCCGACTGATGATGTTACCCGACACCCATCTGTTGTGTGATGCTTGCATTCTTTGGCGCCCAAGCGTTACCTCATGCGTTTGTGCTTTTGTGCTTTTTTGGTCATTTGATCACCTCGTTGGCCATGACTTGCATCAGGTCTCGAACAAGCATTGAACCGCAAGTTCCCCTCTGCCGAGCAATTTGACTCAGAGGGTAAGCCGCCGCCCCCGAACACACGTCTTTCGCCTGCGAGAGAGGGAAGAACGATGACTTGATCATGCTCCCTTGTCTCTGCTTGTGCTGACCCTTGATACCTGGCTGCGCATGTACGTGTAGAAACTCGCGTTTTCTTGGACAACCTTTGCACTGAGCTTGGCGTGGACTGCAGTGCCCCGCGCACCACCAGCCGTTTGACGGATAAGGTTCGCAAGCGGTTACCGCGCATTTCCTACTCTTCTTGCTCATCTGAAGCCTCAGGTAGCGCCTTCTGGTTGTCATGCCTCATCTTTTCGTTTGTTCGTGCGAATTGGCTACTATAGTTGGTCGGCGAGTACCTCGAGTCCCAGGCCATCAACCCCACTTTCATCTGCGACCATCCTCAGATCATGAGCCCTCTGGCCAAGTGGTTCGTCGCGCCGTTCACTGCCTTTTTTGTTTTCTCCTTGCATAAGTGCTTTTGCAGAGCATATGCCGGTCTTATCATGATATCCAACTTGGTTTTGGTTTTCTGGTTAGGCATCGCTCTAAGCCTGGCATGACCGAGCGCTTCGAGCTTTTCGTCATGACCAAGGAGCTTTGCAATGCTTACACCGAGTTGAACGACCCGGTGATCCAGCGCGAGCGCTTTGAGCAGCAGATGCAGGTATGCACCGTTTCAATTTGAGGTTCTCGCGTCGATGTGAACCGGGATCTTTTGTGCCAAGTGGTACCAACACCTCATTCCAACCCCCCTCCCCCCCCCCCCCCCC